GAAACATTTCAGGCTTGTAGGGTTATCGCATAACATCCTTGTTATTTCTCGCTTTTCTTTTTCTTTTCCAGATTGTCCTGTTCCATCCCCACAATTTCTCCTCCCCCCTTTTTTCTAGTGCATTGTGGGTAAGGGAAAACAGATAAATTGACCAGTGCACATCGATAAAGGGAGGGAAGGGGAGTACGTAATGCAAAATGAATCTTCTCTCATATGGGCAATGAAGAAGTTGCTTTCTTAAAAATGTTCAAGATTATCAATGAGCTCATTGACCATACCTTTTTTTCAGGGACCTTTCGATTACACAGTGTTTGCAATCCACTTCCATTTGCGTTAATTCTTTATCAAAGTACATGCATTTGTGTTCAACAGTTTTGTTCTATATGGTACAAATGTCGCTGATTGCATTTGACAAGATAGCGCTGTGGTCTGATAAGTACAAAAATCACTGTATATAGAACGTGGCCTATTTATTATCAGTAGGCTCCTCCAGGAAGTTACTGACAAATAGAAGAGAATTTATTGGCAACCAGTGGTCCTCCTTCGTGCCAAACGTGACACTTCACATATTTGGCTACCAAATTGTTTAAAATATAGACAGCAAATTTGGTCCTGTTATGATATAGTGCAGCAGATGCGTTCAACGCCGTACGAACAAATCCGTTTCCAAGTCCACGCACACTGGTATCTGGTCCCATCCACTGGGTTTTGTGCCAGCTTCCTGTTTATTTCTCCTACCTTGCATACCTCACATTGATCCTTCCGACATACATTCAACAACAGGTTGCTCTTTTATAATATATGTATACATGTATCTTTCTAAAGTCGTTGGGACGATGTGTGACGTTTTCCGATTTCTTTGGTACACTCTATAACTCTATAAAGCCCCCGAGGCTTTGAAAGTGTTAGTCAAGAGTCAAGATTTATTTTGCCTGTCTTCTTTTCTGTCTCTATAGGAATGGAAAAGCAGTTTCGTCAAGTTTGTCGAAGAATTACTTATCACAAAATTGTTTTTCCTCTTCTGCTCCCTGGGAATTTGACAATCGTGGAGCTCTCATTGCCCAGTCATGTAAACAGTCTTTGCAACAGTCATCAGTCATGAATAACCACAGTGTGAGGGCTGTTGTATACAAACTCAATGTTTTGCATATTTGTAGAATGTAGATGTATTAGATTTGGTTCAAATTGAAGTGTAGAGCTGGAGAGTTGAAGTTGAAAGTTTGTTGAAGAGAGAATTTTCGGGGCGAATATGTTTATCAGTTGCGTTTTTTTTAAACGAGGGACAAATTAAGTATCATCTACCCCGCACTGATTAACTGATCTATGATTCAAGAATGCTAAACGACAGACACAGCAAGGGGCGCACGCTTCAAGAAACGCTAAAAGTAAAAGTCGAGATAAAAATATTTTCCAACAGTTGTACCAAATTATGTGAAATAAGCGCTGCTTAGCTGTCAATTATAGATTTTTTATTAAAGATTCTTTAGTCCGTAGCTTTTGCCACAATTAATCGACTTGGTCGAGTCAGTATTACCATAATATTCGTTGATGCCATCTTGCCCTTTCTCAACTACACTACCAAACCTAGAAATAGATTACGCAAACTGTCTTGACAAATTCTTTTGGCTATTGATAGGGTTCGATCTGAGTCAAAGTTAACAAAGGCAGTACTTTGTTTTGATGTTACCTCCAGTCTGTTTTGACAAAGTCGTGTGGGTCACTCGTCGCCTACGCCACTGAATCTGCTTTTTTTTATTTACTTGTTGCATACATTTTATTAATTTTTTTCTTTCTTTCTTTTTTTCTATATTTGCTTGTTTGTTTGTTTGTGTGTTTGTTTGTTAGTTTGCTTATCTGTTTATTTGTTTATTTATCTCTTTATTTCTTCAGTTATTATATTGTTAGATCCACTATACCAACCGGTGGCGACATGTATTAAGTAACTAGCATGCTGCGGTCTTTGAAACCACTCAAATAGGCTACTTTCGTTAACACATCATTCTCTAATATATATCAAATAATAATACGGTCTGTCCTCCTTTATGTCAATCATGGCCGCCGTGTTAGTGAGGCAAATAACACCATTTATGTACAATCATGGATCCCCATTTTCTGTTAAGTGTTTTATGAGTTTTGGAATGCTGTGGATAGCTAAAGCCGGACTATAAAGTTATCGTCACTACTGTATACAAGTTTCTAATTTTACAACCAGTGTTTCTAGGGTTGTTGGTTTTTTTTAAATTAAAGAGCCTGCTTTGGTTGTACTGTGTATACCGAATATACACATTCGACTACAGATTCCAGCGTGATAACTTTTAGGTTCGTTTTACTTCTGCTTCAGTTTGAGGGTAAAGGAGCACAGATTTGTTATCCACAAGAAAAGAACCTGTATTCGGATATCTCCCTTTCGCTAAGCAGCAACGGGTTACCGCTACAACGTCATCATGTCTTACAAAATAGCGTCCTCGATAAACCTACCATTCTCTGCGCTCCTCTTGTCAGTTTTGCTGCTGCCGTTGTCTTGTTCATCCACCCAACCGGTTCAACAACATGAGACTACAGAGAGAATATTGCATTTGCTGCAGGTACGACATTTTATTTTTTCCGTAAATATTGTTTACACATTTACACAAAGCTCCATTACACGAAGACCCCCTTTTGAAACAACTGTAGTGAATTATTTTAAGCTATTCCATTTAAACAAAACAATCATAGAAAATATAGCTCCTAAAAACAATGATTTATTATTTGTGACAAATCTCCCATCCATGTATAATGTCTTTGTAAAGATCAGACGTCTTAGACCTAACCTTCAGGGCTCAACCCAGTTTTAGTGGGATAGAACGTCTCAGCAGAAGACGGAGATACCATACTCAATTTCAAGAACGGAATTTGAAAATATGCTGTACCAGAAGTGATAATAGTGCTGATTTATGGATTGAGATTCAAATAGGCTTATACATGTATTGTAGAGGTAGTTTGCGTTATTATGGGGCAAATGCCAGTGTTGATTTAATGAGCTTACGACTGAAATTGTGAACGATTATTTTTAACCGTTGTCTTGTCATATACATTAATTGGGCAGTGCCTTTTACAATATTTTCATAATATAGTTATGGTAAATTTATTTTACTACCAAGTTATTGCTTTGTTTTATAAATGACGTTTTTATAACGAATACGTTTATTTTCTTTTAAACAAACAGTTCCATTCTTGCCTTCAATTAATATTGCAATTGTCGCTCTTCCTTTTAAATACATATAATTATATATTAAATTGTGCGTGTGTGTGTGTGTGTGTGTGTGTGTGTGTGTGTGTGTGTGTGTGTGTGTGTGTGTGTGTGTGTGTGTGTGTGTGTGTGTGTGTGTGTGTGTGTGTGTGTTAGTTACTGTCATTTTGTTATAATGGTTTTCCTTATCTTGCTGCCCAAGTTCCTTTACGTTGTTGCTTACTTTTCATAGAAAAATGACTCAGCCGACGTAGGCTTCTGCTGCCCTCTGGATATTTGTCCTACTCAAGTGACACTCGAGATTCAAACGAGGATTTGAGATGTCTACATGTGTATTCCGGTTCTAAAGCGGATGAATGTCTTCAATATTTTTCAGGCTTCGGAGATCCACTACAATGGTTTGAAGAGAAGTCTTGGCGATCTGAACGAAGAACTCCGAGTTCTGGACTCTGGCACCACAATGGGAATCTTGAACGCGAGATCTGCCAACAGTGACGATCTCGCTCAGCTTCTCAGCTCTTTCCACGCGTTTTGTGAGGATCTCCAGGGTCAGAACGCTACACCTAACGTGGCGCCAACAATAACAAATTCTTCTATTTCTACTGTACCTCCTGTCGGGGCCGGGAAGCCGACTGTTATGCCGTTGTCGGACTGGTTCCCACCCCCGCTCAACGTAATCCCCGTGACTGTGGAAATCACTTACCATTGGAATGAGGCTGTCGTCATATTTACTGTCATGCATTTCACCTCTGGCTACGTCACCCCTTCCCTGGAAAAGTTCGACACCGGAAAAGTCAGCATTAAAAAGCTGAGACTCAGACCGCATGAGAAAGTGCCCAAAACTTCGAAAGTGAAGTTCCGGGTCAAAACGGGGTGGTGCGAAGAAAAGCAGGACTATGATAGGCAGGAGACGAGCTTTACGTTCGCTGAGGCTCGAAAACGATTTCCGACTCAGATTGTGGTTTCTCTGGACATGTGTAAATTCCAAGACAACATCTTTTCGTACCATGGTACTTATGACATGGCGACAAACACCGTGTATGTGCGAGAAGATATCATAATTCCTCAATTTTACACCAGTATGAGGGATTTAGTTATTGTACCAGGCAAAAAACAAAGCGAATCGTTTGATTTAATGCTTACGACTTACGCGCCTTTACACTTCGGCGTTTCCATTCTTTACTACGACAACATAAAAGACACAGTTTCTCAATCGTTTTGGTCCATGTATGAATATGAAGAGGAGGAGGGTAAATACCAACTCGATATGCATGAGTCGGCAAGTAATAAAAAGACCAATTTGGAAATTGATGACATCTCATTCGATAGCCGCGAAAACAATACAGAAGATGCTCAACCTGCTAGGAACGAGACTGAACCACGTGAGATAAGATATCGCTTGACTGTAAACGTGACATCTGATTCAGACAACGGAATTATTTATCTTGCTCGAAGTGTTCGTAACGAGTCGCAGAAGACAGATATACGCTCTACGAACCTACACGTTCCCGTGTACATCAAAGGGCGAGGTGAAACGTTTCCATTCCCAGAGGGTACGTTTATGTTCACGGGTAGAAGTCATACTTTTTGTAACACAAATCCGTTGGCAGAGGACGAATCCGTGAACAGATGTTCAATACAGTGCAGCTTTTTAGGGGTAGACATTAAAGACATAAGCGTGTACAAAAACGACTCTTCTTGGCAATCCAAGAAAAGAAATTTCCGTCTAAGATCGGCGATAAGTCCCTCTCGAGAATGGGCGGCGGCTTACCTTGACTACACGGGTGATAACCCCACGGCGGCGAAAGGCGAGTACGTATGCGAGGTCACTTCTGTACACGGTAAGACAGCTCATCACACTGTCACACTTGTGGTGGGAGGGTCTCCGGCAATTGACGAAAACGCCACGAGAATAGAAGACTTTAAAAACGAAACTGCCCTCGTGACATGTGCTGCATCAGGAAGTAACCTCACGCTCGAAATCTATGTAGACGATGATTCAGCACAAACTCGGTTGGACAATAATTCAAGCTATACACTAGTTGTGAAAAAGCCGGCTCCACATCAACTGGTGTATGAGCTCTTCGTTCCAACTTCAATTCTCAGATGGCCCACGAATGTAATCCTGTGCAAAGTAAAAAACGAATTTGGAGAGCGTTCGGAATTTAAGTATACCCATACAGCTCTTGATGATTATTATGGATCGGATCGATAGTCTGGAACATTATAATACATATTGTGCAATATACAGCAGTCTAGACAGTTTAGTATAATTCTACTGCCAGAATAAACACCAATGTGTATTGCTGTTTCGAATACAATATTATAATTATTATACATGTTTATGTATCTATATTATATAACTCTGCAGGTTCTTTCGGTAAATTCCTGCATGTGGTCAAATGATGCATCTGATGTCATACTGTCACCCTTTTCTTGTTCTCTCCATGCCTGTTTTTCTGTTACTGTATGTTTTACTGTCTCTGTCTCTTCTCTCTCTCTCTTCCCTCTCTCTCTCTCTTCTCTCTCTCTCTCTCTCTCTCTCTCTCTCTCTCTCTCTCTCTCTCTCTCTCTCTCTTTCTCTCACTCACTCTCTCTCACTCACTCTCTCTCTCTCTCTCTCTCTCTCTCTCTCTCTCTCTCTCGCTCTCTCTCTCTCTCTCTCTCTCTCTCTTCTCCCCACGCCCCTTGCCCTGCAAATTCACTGTAACAAAAATGAAAAGTGCAACGTGCATGATGTATTATTGTTTAAAAAACAGACTTCTATCCTATGACTGGGAGATATTTTCCAACTACGTGTGCATGTATATGCCATGAAAATGTGTTTGGTCATAACCTATGTGTTTCCCTCCATTTTAAACTTATTCCAATAAATGCTTTGAGTTTCCTACAGTCATTTACGTCTTCTTTTCATTTCTTTTAAAAACGAAATACATGTAATCCTTTTCCCCGAAAAGACACTTCATGTACACTATGGGGGGACACTGTCTATAATTAGCGCCCAGTATCATAATTTGTAAGATTTGGTGAGCAATTACCAAAAAAGAAAAAAATATATACATCAGCTTAGATACTGGAAGTCTAAAAGCGGAAATCCACAGGCACGGAAACTGAAAGGCAGCGGAACGGTACAGATCGCTCAAAACAGAAATGTTATTTTCTGGACCCATTACACGTAGTAAGGAACGGCAACGGGACGGCACCGACAGTTCTGCGGTACCACAGAGGCACTTTTCGAATCGGACACAGGAGCGATTCTGCCGCTACCGCAGAGGAGCCGCAGAGAAAAATGTGGGCGTGGCGCCTAAATATTCACGCGAAAATGCCTCGTTGACAGATGACTTTGCGACTTTGGCAATGCCTCACCAGATCTTCCTCCATATGATGCAACACTAAAGCGAAATGTTCTCTCGTCAGGCAAAAGTATTGTTGGAACTTTTCCTTGTGGAGCTGAAGCTCTTTTTCAAGATAGTGGTAGTCTAAGTGTCTTGTGACTTTAGCTCTTTCAGCATTTCATGCACCAAAAATCGATGCTGTCTTCGTTTCCTTTTTACTCCTTCTCTTCTTAACCAGGAGCCAAATCATTTGCAGTGATCGCTTTTGTCTCACGAACCTGGACAGTTTTGACTGGGTAGGTGCCATGCTGCTAACGAAACAAAAGAAAAAAGGCGCAAACCTGCCGTGCCGTATCGTGTCTATGGATTCAAACATTGAAGCTGCCATTTGCGATACCACACATTTCACCCCGTGCCGTTCCGCTGCCGTTCAGTTTCCATGCCTATGGATTTCCTGCTGTACATTTCTGAATTTGTGTACGTCTGGGGCCATACTTCTCATCATTAATGTTCAGTTGAAATTATACCAGTTAGGAAGTGGCCCAAAACTGCGGAACTGCGTATGCCCTACCGATGCCATGGGCCTACTACCGTATTTCGGGAAAGACTCGCATGTCAGTTTAAGCCTACTTATAAATACAATGTAATTTTACACCTTCATCTCTACACTAGTTTCGATCCTTTCGGGGCGGATTGCTTCGACTGTACCGGACATGCCTAACCCAGACCGAAAGGGATTCAGCATTTCAGCAAACAGAAGGGGCTCTTGTGGCCAAGAGGTTAGGTGTTCACCCTTCATTCAATAGGTCCCGGGTTCGAATCCGGATATCAACAGAAATTTTTCTTCTCTGCGGTATCTTCTTTCTCCTCCATTCCTGCACTCAAGCAATGTTCCTTCGTCTGCTTTCGTTTCCACTTTCTACCCCACCCCTTCAACTCCTTTGCCCCTCCTCTGGGGTCCTGACTCTCTCTGCAGCCTTTCTACTGACTGCTCCTCCTTGACTCCTCCTTACTGCTGTCTTTCAGCCACACCCGTGTTCTTCTGGTAGGAACGATATACACCTAGCTATCCCGGACAAAGGGCAAAAAACCTCGGAGGTCCCGTGTGCAAGTTGCACACGTTAAAGATCCCTTGGTGGTCCAAAATCAATGAGAATAGGCTTCGGCCGCCACCCGGGCTATATTCAAAATTTCCTACCGACTGAAAATGTTTAATGTGTCCAGCGCGCTCATATCATTATATGACATTATGCAGTTGCGAGCGCCGTAAAACACTTACAAAAAAGGACAAACTGAGATACTTAATCACACTACTTCTGCACACAAGAATTGAACTCATGTCTACTGTGAACGAAGAGGAAGAACCTAACCGGCCATAACATCACAGATAACTTTCAGTATAACGCAACCTCTCCCATACAAATAATTAACAACTCCCAAGACGTGACTACACCGGTGCTGCTGAACTACCGTACTTAATTAAGACCGATTTCAAATTTACACATTACAAATACTTGTTTTGTTTTGTTGTTGTCTTTATTGGTGTTGTTGTTGTTGTTTTTGCTGCTGCTGCAGAGGTGTGGCTGAAAGACAGCAGTAAGCAGGAGCCATGGAGTAGCAGTGGAAATGCTGCAGAAAGAGTCAGGAGCTCAGAGGAGGGGGCAGGGGATGTGAGCTGGTGGGGGCAGAAAGAGGAGACGAAAGCAGACGACAGAAAATTTGAACATTGCTACAGAACAGGAAAGAAGGTGAAAGGAAAACATTTTAAGAGGTTCGAACCGGGGACTTCCGTATAAGAGGCCAACACCTTAACCTCTAGGCCATGAGAGCCCCCTGAAATCAGTTTTAACTGATTGCTTACAATGATGCCTTTGGCAATGAATTATTGAGCACGGTAATTTTGTTTCCTTTTTTTAGTGCCCCCCCCCCCCATGGTTTTAACTATTGAAAAGGTAATAATGATTACAGTATCCTTTGTTTTTTAGAATGGGATAAAAAGTTTACAAACTGTATTAATGTGCAAAAATACTACTGTCTTAATTGTTAGCTTGTGTCGTTGGGTTCCTTAGCCTATTATAGAAGTAAAGCGTTATCTCACTCATTGCTCCTCCCCTTTCCCGGTGAAGTTTTTATTGCTTTCTTTCGTCTCTGAACAAAATCACCGCTCATATTCAGGCCGTAAAGCATCTCATCATTGTTTTGTAAACGCACCAACTAAATTTCGAAGAATGAAAGGCTGGCTCAACATTACACAAAGGCGACCGGACAGTCCCAGAGTACAGGCGCAAAATCTGTCTAGCAAATTCGCATGCACACCGATAGATGGTCAGGGAAACAAAAGTACCGATGTAATCACAGTTCGATGTGATCTCGTCTGATGCAGCCTTGTTGGCTCTACCTACCGAATCACGGCTCGCTGTAGTTCGATGTTCGGAGAAATCAGAGGCGTCGAAAAGTTCACACCTGGGTGTGATCTTTTCTTTGTAATTAAGGCCCCTGCGCCTGGGGCGAACATGGGACCACTCGTCGAGAAATTTAGAGGGGAGATGTGATCGTATGTATGTACGAGTGTGTATGATTCTTGAAGGTTTTTTTGCTCAGTAAAACAAGGTCTAAAACGCGGGAACTTCAGACTCCTGAGTGGGGTCTTATAGGTGTGACATTTCTGTAATAAAATTTGTTGTTTTAGGGGATTGTTTCTTTTCTTTGTTCTTTCTATAAACAACGGAATCTTAAGCGAACTGGGATCATAAACGATGAGATCTCAGGTGGAGACTACTATGATGAGATTAAACCGGGTACAGTACTATAAAGAAGACTCAAATTCTCTCCCCCCCCCCCACACACACTTTCCTCATCTTTCTTTAACAGAGAAATTATTCTCCGTTGTTGTTAAGTTAAGCAGGTACTGGATTTTTTTTTTTTAATTGAGCCTCAAGGACATCTATATTTTTTACATCAGTAATAGTAATGAGATACATGGGTTTTAAAACATAAAATAAGTCTACTGACTTTCCTAATCTCAAGGACCTCGGAATAAAACCCTCTTTCCTATCTAGATATCTAGATTTCAGTGATAAAGAGTCGGGCAGCGCACAGCGCAGGTTGACCATGGTTCCGCTGCGAGAGAGGGCTTCTGTCAGGCGTTCGTTGCCGCCAAGGGGTTTAGAACTAGATCTACTTTTAATCTCCTTGGTTGCCGCCCACAGAACAGTCTCCAAACAACCTCCTTGATGTTATCCCATCTATGTGAGCCCTGAGCGATGCAGATGGTCAGGGTGGTGGAGGGTGTGAAATCTCACGAGTGCCAGAGAAAGTGCCCGAATAGCGAGCCACCACGAACACGTTCCTGGGCAGCCTGAAGCCAGAGGTGTGAAATTAATTTAACCAATGCCTGCCGCCCTGATCGTACGGCCAGCCGAGAAAAGAGTTATTGGATCGTTGTTACATGGCAGTGAGGGGTGTCATTGGTTGACTGTGCTTGTTACACCGATGGGTGGGGCTAAGGGTGGAAGCAAAGGAGATGTTCAAACGTTTCTGTTTTTAATAGGTCAAACACTGGTCCTATAATGCAAGCACTGGTGGAAATTGGATAAGTAAGACTGACGCATGTATGTTATTATCAAACAGGATAACAGTTGAGAGGTGTGACGTTTTGACCACTGCTTGTCGACCAGATCCCACTAGCTGGGCCTTTGAAACCCCCCTCCATCTTCCCCCTCAATTCCCCTGTCTGAGACGGAAAATGTCCTAGACGGAATTTGTACTAGCTCCCTTGCGATTTCGTCTTACACAGGTTCGTTTGTTGTATCTTTGTGGATGCATGTGGCCCTAGTCAGTTTTTCATGATGGTGTGTAACATTATGTGGCAGAAGACCTTGCATGATTCTTTTATTTTTGTTGACGTGGCTGTCTTCAGTGGGAATTTTCTGTGTGTTCATCATATATTACTATCATTATGATCTCAAATCTCGGTGAATGCATGACCACTGACACGTGCCATGCTTTGTGATCTGGACTATCGAGGTCAGGCTCAAGGATCGCGAACCAGTCTCTCGGGTCCTGTGAGGTGTTGTCGGAAAGTTCTCCCACACTCCCATCATGTAGATCTAGCGTTTAGAGAAGATACGTTCCCCCGGCCGTCCTTACGCCTTACAATGTGTAAACTGTGCGTGGTTGTGGTGTCTGTCAGCTTGACAACTTTAGTGTCAAGGAAATCTTTCAATTTACTCAATGGACTCTCTCCTTGGCGATACTGCTAGATCCTAGCAATAAAACGAAAACAGCTGATGTAGAAGTACAGCGCGTAGGCCTGCTCTGATGTTGGGTCGGTGGCCTAGCTGGCCTACAATGAGAAAGATAGAGATAGTTGGTGGCCCATAATAAGGGGGCCACGTTATTAGTAAACTTATTGCTGCTATTTTTTTGCTACTGGCGCGCTCCTTATTTATAATTTAATTAATGATAGGCCTAGTGTACTGACTGGTTTTCTACCTCTTCGGTATAGTAGGTACTCTACCGAATAAGCCCCCCCCCCTTTTTACGCTTATATTAATTTTCAGGGTTTTGTTGCGCACCCGCTCTCCTTGCGCTCCTTTTCCCCTATTATAACACCCCCGTTTGTTATTTTCCAACTTGCCGCAACCGACGATGATGTGAAACATAATTATCTAGATTAGAATCTAGATCTAGATATCTGAATGAAACTTCTTTATTTTTTTAAAAATTGGAAAATGGCACCCCATTAGTACCGGTACAGGTGGGCTACCTCGTTTTTCAGATCATTTTAAAAACGTTTGTGTACAATGGCTTATATTTTATAATGAAACTGGTTTGTTCCTAAATATGGGAAAGGAAGTTGCACAGAATTCTACACTTCTAAAAGTGTAGAATTCTGTGGGAAGTTGCTACAGTCCCCTAACAAACTTCTTATGGGAAAAGCTGTCACCGTATCTTACTCAAATCTCTAAAATTTCATATGGGAAAAGCTGTCACAGTAACTGAAACTAAAATCGCAACAATTTCACGAACTCTTGTTTTTTTTTTTTTTTTAATTCACAGAAGGAGAAATAAAACGGATTTGTTCCTACCACTACTACATCTAGATCTATATCTAGTACAGGGATATGAGGTTGAATGTACCACCCCCCCCCCTTTTTATTCCACCCTCCCACCTCTGTTCATTGATTAAAATTTTGGACCACTTGTCCACCCCCCATATTATTTGATAGGCTACCTCTGTCTGACTGTCTGAGTTGGCTAGTCTGCTAATAGGCTATCTTTGGTTATTCCAAAGATGTACTATCATTGGTTATTCGTAGGCTTGGATTGAACTTTAACCCAAGACCGACAACTCTAATTTAGCACTCTTCGTTTTATTCGTCAATCTTGGCGTTAAACTTCTTGTGTCAACAACAACACAACAACAGTCAACAATTTCTTCAACTACAATGGAGGAGAGAGCATTCAAAAATACGTTGGAAGACTACAGAGGCTCCACTTTTCTTGGCGAAGACAAAAAGGCAAGAGGGAAGATGAAGAATACCGGACCACTCGTAGATTGGGAAGATTGAAGAATACCGGGCCACTCGTAGATATAATCTAGATATATAGATTCTAGATCTAGATCTAGATCTAGATCTAGATTTAGCTCTAGATTCTAGATCTATACTAGATCTATACATTATTGCGCGAGAATGTGGGGTGGGTGGGGCGGGTGGAGGAGGGTGAGGGGCTTGGGGTCACCCCCCTGACAAAATTTTATGAATGGATATCTACGGGTCCGAGATTCTCCATTGAGAGATAAAAACTGGGGAAAATCATGAATTCATAAGGTTGAGACATAGGCAAAGTCAGTCCGCTGGTCCGGTATTCTTCAATCTTACCCTAGAATCTAGATCTAGATCTCTAGATCTAGATCTAGATTTAGATCTACTCATGCACTGAATTTGAAGCGAAGAGCTTAAATCAACGTTTTATTCATACACTGGCCCATTCAATGTGCAACAAATTTTTTAATGCTTTCACTTTCAGTACACATTCATAATCTGAGGAAAAACACACCATATATTATAAAGGCAATCACTTTGGCTACTGATCATTAGTTGCTGTTGGAAGAAGGGTACATTTTTACTTTTAGACCCTGTAGGCTCTGGGTTTTTTTTCAGGGGTGAGGGGGGGGGGGAGCAGTCTTCAGAATGCACAACCAATATACCACAGATTAATTGTGAAACTGCAATAGATAGGAAGAAAAATCCAAATGTTGGGCTTCAATTTAGTACATTTCAACAGCTGACAAACAATGTCATGTAAATAGGGTTGAAAACTCTGAAAACCCGGTGATCATTACGCCTATAACTTGAAGAGATGACATGCTTGGCAGGTACATGTATGTATGTGGTTCCTGTGTGCTGTGCAATCTACTGCAGTAGACAAGCCATTTCCTAAAAGTTCTGAGTACTTTTTGTAGATTGCAGCAACTGGTATTTAATTTTCACTTGTTAGGTTCAATGTATGGAGCATTGCCTTATTTATGTATAAACTTTTTTTGGGGTAAAAATGAGTGTTCAAAAAGTGTAGGTAGCTGAGGTGTACAGGAAGTCCCTATCAGTTAAGGCAAGTGCAACAGTTTGAAACAATCAAGATCATAAAGGGTTTCGTAGTTTTTCCAAGCCCTAGTCTTGATAGAGGTTCTGAAATTGAAATGCAGCCAATTTTGTCATGCAAAATACTTGAGTCCAATGTTATATAGATCTAGACTAAGAAAATATTAAATTGGCCAGTTTCACAGATTTTGATATATATTTAGTTTTCTAAAAATAAATGTTGTATCTCCACAGTTGCAAAAGCAGTACCAGGAACAAGTTCTCACAGGTGTCAGGAAGCTGCAGGAAAATGTCTGTCAAAATGCTTCTGATGATGGTCGAGACTACTCAGTTTACACAGGAGCTGCAGGCAAATTTTGTTTCTGAAACGAATGTAAATTCTGGTGTGACTGCAGTTTATAGTATCTCAGTTCTAGTGGAAGGTGCCTGTTGGATGGTTGAAGAAGTTTGAACAACTTTTTGAATATTGGACATTGACAAACACTAGGAACTCGAAATCATAGATATAGCACATATATTTCATTTCCCTGAACCACTATATTTATTCTTCTTATTGGCAACATTTATTATTTTCAAACACCTGCCGTATGGATTTGTCAAACAGCTCAGCTCGAAAAACTGATCGGTCGAATTTTTCTTAATAAATTAATCATGAATTCAGATCGCCCAAAGAGCATGATGGAAAACAACACACTTATCATCATGAGAGTATCATGTTACATGAGCCCACCAGGTTCACCCCTGCCCAGTGATACACACACTGCTGGTGGTATTGAGATACATGCATCATTGCACATTAACTGTAGCTGCTGCACGCAAGGCACTAGAAATTTCTTGAATTTAGTCATGTGAGGGTGGGTAGTGGGTGGTTGAGTGTCCTCATGTGTTACTTAAGCTTCTGTGTGTGTACATGTGTGTGTGTAGTTTCTTGAACATGAAGGTATGGGTCAGGAAATGATTACACTGATTACACAAGAAGGGTAGGTGGCATGCGCTTATCAGATTTGTAAGGTTCATCAGCAACATTCTCTTCCTTTCTCTTGCTTTGCCACTAAACAAAACGTGTTCACTGTCCATCCCTCTATCCTTTTATCGATGCAGAGTCACACTTTTCATGATGGCAGAGAAGAGAAAACTTAATTGCCTAACAATAGAAACCAAAAGTCAGATTTTAGCAGAGGTTGACAAGAAGTCCTGTTCTATTACGGACATTTGTAAGAGATTTGTTTTTCCCAAATCAATGATTCCAGCAAGCATGTATGCCATGTTTCTTCTTCGGTCCCATTCTTCTGATAAAAAAAAGGCGAAATCACAAAGAAACTTTAGCTTCACTTCACATGCACATGCAGTCTAGGATGGTTGGACACGTTCAAAAAGAGACATGGCATGACTCAAAATGCTATGTGCAACAGTTACAGTTACAGGGATTTATTTCCAGACCTCTGTACTATCACAATTACTCTCTTCTTTTTCTTAATTATCTCTCTAATTTTTCGTTTCTAAGTCAGTTTACTTTACCTGAATTATGGATGCTACGAACACATTGGTCTATGCCCAACATGAATGGGTTATCTGTGCCCTACTGTAGGCCTATCATTATATTTTGATGTTTTCTACAGAGTTTCTTGAAACAAAAGATCAGTTCTAAGTGATACAATAAATCACTACAGCCTTGCAGGTATATATTTTGCCCAGTTGTAGTTGTAAAAAATTGTTAACTCAGATTCTTTGTTCTTTAAAAATAATTTGTTTTTTCTTCTAAAAGTCAGAATACTAATAAGGGCTGACTGTAGAAACCTGTGTAGTGTAATTTAATGTGTTTGAAAGTTTTTCCATTCCCTTTTCAAAATTTCCGACTCATGTCAGATCTGAAGGGTTCTCTGCTTACAGGGCAAGCTCTACTTTGCCTTCAACTGCACACCAAATTGCCAGGAGGAGATAAAGATGACCACTATCTACAGCAAGCCTTGACCTGGTTGAAACCGTGTCTCAAGAGGCTGAAGGGCTCAAAGCTGTCCTTTCTGTGTGGAGATGCTGGACCACTGGCTATAGCTGCCGTTGTGCATCACCTGCTGGGCAACAAGGAACGCAGCAAGACGTTCATTTCCAAGTATAAAAGGGAGTCTTGGGATATGGGATAGCAGAGAGAGACTATTATGTCTTTTATGTTTTTTGGCGCCAGGACATCAGGATTTTTTATTTTAATCAGAATGTGAATGTGAATGATTTTTGAGTCTAAAATTTATTGTTTAGTATGAGGTCCATCAAGGAGCTGGGAACCCCCATTCCATCTGAGGTTCTGACTTCTTGGACCCCAGTGTGGAAGTATTTATAAGTAAAACCATTATCTATGTTGAATTTTGATACAAAGCTCACATAACCGTTAATGGTATCTTTTACCTATGGTTCTGATATGTGTCCTATTGGGTATAAATATAAATACACAAAAGAAATTGAAACTTGGAAAAAGTTGAGTCAAGTTGTCATGAAATTCTGCTGTAGTAATCGGGGTAAATATGAAGTTTTTTATTTATTCAAGCTTATTTATATCGTTGCATTTTTATTAATCGAATTTGATTTTTATTGACAGTAATCTTTGGAACAAATTTTATTTTCTTCATATTTCCATAGGGTAGAAGATTTGTGCCGTGATGTGTGTGCAGACAGTGATATGCCAGACGAGATTTTGTATGGAAGATGTGGATATCTGTCAGCTCTGTTGTTCCTACAGCATTACCTCAGTCCTGATGCTGTAGACAGGGAACTCATTGTTAAGGTTGTGGAGGCAGTACTGAGCTCCGGAGAGACTCTGTCACGAAGACAGCGATGTTCTCATCCCCTTATGTATGAGTGGCACGATAAACCGTACTTGGGGGCTGCTCATGGCCTTGCTGGCATTTACTATATGTTGTTACAGGTACAGCTATGCCACACTTATGTCAAGTTCCCATTTTGTGTACCGATATGTGTAAGAAAGAAGTTGAAGTGTTGAAAAATTTAGTCTAGTTTGGCTCACAAAATGGAAGTGACATTAGCTACTTAAACATTTTAACATCATAAACATAATATTAACATGTTTCTCCTATCTCTAACAGATGTTATGGTTTACTTTTCGTTTGAAATGAAATCTCACAATTTTTCTGAGCACACTATTTTTTTTAAATCACCAGAGCAGACATATTTGATAAAGGAAGTAACTGGAAATTTTGTGCTGGCAGCCTCTGAAAGAGTGACATCCTCTCAAGCTTTCTTACATTAAAATTTGGATGCTGTTAATCTTATTTTTATTTCACTGTCACTGCTGTCACTACCTATCATATTGCTTTTCCTTGGCACTGTGACTGTTGTTAGGCTGAGATGCCTCTTCCATGCAAACAAGCAAAACACTAGAGCACCGTTCAGAAGTAAATCTAGAAAGAGCAGCTCCTTCTATACCATTGCTGCATCCATAGTGTGTTCTACATGTCCTTGCTGCAGATAGAGGAATTAAGCTATAGATGTGCTTTGAATAACACCGTAGTTGTACCACTAGTATCATCATTCTTTTCCTTGACTCTGTGTAGCCATAGAGAAAAATTTTTGTCATCCACACAAACCTCTATACGAAACTCACTTCGGCAACTTTTCAAGGACCTGTCTCCTTCAAAGCTGTTTTAGAAAGAGCAGCTTCTCCTTTAACATTGCTACATTTATGCAGTGTTACATTTGTTCCTACTGCAGGTGAAGGAGGCTGGTGTGCAGGAACGTGTCAGGCAGTTGGTTCATCCGTGTGTGGACTTTATGCTGTCTCTGAGATTTGCTTCTGGGAACTGCCCCTCCTCCCTGGGCAGTAGTGGAGGGGACAGACTTGTTCATTGGTGCCACGGGGCTCCTGGCTGGGTGCATCTTTTTGCCTTGGCTTACAAGGTTAGTGACAGTTCTTAAAAATTGATCTTGGATCTTACATTGTATTATGGCAACAAAAATGATTTACTCTTTATTCCCGTAAAAAAAATTTTTTAGCACTCAAGATGATCTCTTTGTATAATGTAACACGGGAGAGCTTTTAGATTTTATCATCGTTTAACAATCAAGTAGAAGTAGAGGTTTAGAACGTTGAGCTTTGACTGAAGGAGGCATGTTTTGTTTGTCATAAAATTCTGAATCAAGTGCAATATTTAGGTTGTGTGAGGGGAGACGCCCTCCGCCATGTGTATAGTCTCCGAGATCTTAAGAACATATTGGAGAGTGATGTATCCTTTTCAAACTTATTTCGCTTTAAATGTTTTATCAAGCAAAAATATATTGTGCAGTATGAGATTAACTGAATAAACAGTTTGGTGTTATTATAACGGAAAGTTGGATATTAGCACATCGAACATGCCATCTTATTTTTTGTATTAAGTCGTATTCTATAGTTTAAAATCTTGTTTATTTATATTACAATTCCCTTTACTATATAATTTTTGTTTTAATACCATGCTATGATATGCCATGAGATCAGTTGTGTTTGAATTTTGTAGCAAAAATTTTGATGTTAGTCTGTCAAAAGAAGGTTTAAAAAATGTTTGTCCAAAAGAGATATGTCTTGTTAAGGGATGAATAAACATTGTTACATATCATGATTTTTATCTCAGATATATAAAGACAAACGGTATCTTGAGGCAGCTCTGGACTGTGGTCGTGTGGTGTGGCAGAGAGGGCTCCTGTGCAAAGGCTATGGGCTGTGTCATGGAACTGCAGGAAATGCCTACACTTTTCTGACTCTCTTCAAATTGACTGGGGAGCAGAGATACCTTTACTATGCATACAAGGTAAGAAGCTGGTTTGGCAGAGAGGATTGACTGCAAAATTACTGCAATTCTTTCATACTTCAGTCAACACAGAAAAGGTTTTGTTGGAGTCAGACTTTTTATACTAGTCAGGCTTGTCAGGACCAGTCAGAACTGTGTACTGGATCTCAAGCTGAAGAGTGAGATCTGTGATAAAAAATCTTTCTTTTGTGGGAATAGAACTTTCATCTTTCGCATGTAACCAATATGCTTTTTACCTATTCATGTTAGGTTTTCTAACCTCACTGGCTGTTGCCCGATAAAACACTACTGAATCCTAGGATATTCTGTTGTTGAAGTCTCATCTTCGTGGGGTTGAAAATATTGAAACAATTTACCTTCTTGAACTTTCTGTAGCTTTGACTGTGTTTTACAGGTTATAAAATAATTTTCTGAAAATTATTGTAAAGGGGCCTTAATCCCTTCTTTTTTTTTTTAAATCAGATTTTTTTACGTTACATGACTGAAAAAACTTAATGTGACCAGATTTTTTAGCTCCCCTGATGGAAAGTAGTTCTTTGTCTCTTTTTGACCAAATCGTCCCCAAACTTCTTAGAACTCTGTGAGAAAGCAATACCACTAAATAGTTATTCTATCACGTCTAGGAGGATAATGTCTCTTCTTTGGGATACTCTTTGGAACTACAGGGCTACTAACACTAATGTGCTCTTGACACTCCTCTTACTTAATAGGTGTGCATGCCCTAAAACAGGCAGGACTGGGAGAAACCCCTTTCCGGCATCACCCCATGCCACTAAAAGGTTGTTGATTCCTTACTCCAACTCGCTCGTAAAAGAAAATGGAAATAGGCCTACACTAATAATAATAACATAATAGATTTTGTTTTAAAAAATAGTACAGAAGCCTTAGAACAATTAGACAATGGTCATGGCTTCACATTTTTTGAAAATGTCTGAATTTTTCACTAATATAAAGGGTTGATATGTTTTGTGGCTTAAAAAATTTTTTTTTTTTTTCTTAGTTTGCAGAATGGTGTTGTGACTATGGCAAACATGGATGCCGCACACCGGACAGGCCATTTTCAATGTTTGAAGGTTTGTTCACTTCTGTAAAATGCATGTTAGAGTTTTGTGAACATAAAACATACAGAAGTCTCCGCCTAAACGCTCGCCATACAAAGGCACGCTCCGCTCAAACCTACGCTTTCGTCATCTGACGGGGTTTTTTACTACATAATTAAGACGTGCAAACGCACGGTCACTCCCTTTAAATGCACGCTCCGATCCGCGGAACACTCCGACAGGTTAAGCTGAACAAAGGGAAATCTGCACAGCTTGCATAAGACAAGCCTAGACAGCATGATATTTGGTGAGACTGCCCCTCACACCGAACAAAGAGAGTGATGGACAGCTTTTTCGCACCCAACTTTCCACAGACAGTAAATAGGTCTAGGACTGGTCGGTGAAATGTTGGGGGGTTGGGTGACTGAAATGCTATTTGATTGGTCACTGGGTTTCTGACTGGTGTTTGGGTGACTGCATGTAATGTTTAGTTAGACCTAGGCCCATGATGCGAAACACGCGTGATTGCTCGTCCACGATTTACGGTTGGGGGTTGTCGTTTGGAAAGTCACGTGGCTGGGCCGTCGACTCTATGACTATCACCAACAGTTTCCTGTTACGCTATCTGTTACCGCCATTTTATGGTGCATATCAATACATTGAGCCTGTATTCCGCCTCCACCCCCACACACCCACCCACCCATTCAACGCCTTTGTATTCTTAATCGCAATCGGGGAATCCTTCACTAGACAGTCACGTGTCGTCACATTATCAGCCCAAAGTGGTCCCCACCCCAAAGGGAGGTCACTAGAATATCAAGGCAACGAGATGACTGCGTCTCTTCCTCCCTTTGCTAAGGTTCATGTTAACGCACGCTCCGTATAAACACACGCTGAGGAGCCCTCCCGAGCACCGTGCATTTAGACGGAGACTACTGTAGTATGGCTGTTATGGTCTATTGGATTGTAAATGTTTTACATCGTCATCAGTGCCATTTGGTCACTCAGAGAGTGGACTGCTTTCGCCTTGCCTATCAGGATCAACCCAGGCTGAATGGATACAACATCCCAGCGGAAAGACAGAGACACTCTATAAAAGAATTTAATCGTACGTGAATCAAAGTCACGTCTTCTGTATCCATTTAAAAGCAAAAAGCTTGACCATTGCACCACAGACACTGGCGTTCTGCGTCATTCTTTGTAAAAGGCATTATGCTGAATATAATCAGTGCATTTTGCAAACAATTCATTACTGAAGAGTTTGGGCTTTTTAAGCTATAAGAAAAATGTCTTTGTGCTGTATGTTAATGGAAAGATAAAAAGTGAACAAATGATAGGATTTGCTTTAGTAGCAAAATGTGGTGAAGCGTCTCGTAGTTGTACATATATTGTTATTGTAACTGCTTTAAAATACTGAGGCTTCTATCAACTATGAGTGTTAACATATTGCAGAGATAAACTTCACAAAAGTTGTAATGTGTTTTTCCATAGGTATGGCTGGCACAGTGTATTTCCTGGTAGATCTGCTGGATCCATACAAGTCTGCATTCCCTGCCTTTGATTTCATGTAAGGATGTTTCCTCCTTCAGATGTAATTTTCGTGTTCATCTGATCGAAGGGAGAAGGGATGTGTTCACCTGGAGGTGGAGTCTTTTTTTTGCACAATTAATCTCTTATGCTGTTGAGCTGGCTCTTTTAATTTGATATTGTTTACTTTAAATACACTTGCAATAAAGTATAACTGAAAAGCAAACTTTTTCTTGAGCATAATTTTTATTCATGTTAAATTTACACTTTTAAGTTTGTTGCTATTCAGAAAAAAAGAAATGTTTTTTCTTTTCTCTTCAAGGCACTCATTCTGCAAAAAAAATCAAACCAGCAAGTAGTCTACCTATATATAATTATAATATGTAAGTATTACATTTACATTTCAAAATTCATCGTATGTCATAACTACATACTGGCACATCTACACACAGGTTTAAGTCTGAATGATTTTGGTAAAGAGAAAAACGTTGACACAATAATTGTCATTTAGTGCATGGACAAAAAAACCCCCAAAACAAAACAAGGCAGCCTGACAGAAAGAAGAAAAGGAAAGAACAGAAGTATGACCTACCAGAAACATCTTCCAACCCCCACAGTTCGAGTGAACAGAACACATCAGTTACATACAGCTGAAAACATGGAATGATAGGACATGCTCTAGTTTTGAATCTGCCACATAAGACAGACTGGAGTAGGGGTGCTATTGGATCATGTCACTTATGTTATCATAAAGCACTCCACTTGTGTAGAGAGAAATAATTTATACATTTTACACCCCCATCAACTCCATTTTGATAATGTAGAAGGTGACCTGCTTCAATCCTTCCTGTCAGGGCCAACCAGGTAGACAGATGGAAATGCTCAATTCATTCACTTTCGCACAAGAGACCTGAAGTCATGTCTTCAGCATACAACATTATGCTATTGACTATGGAAACTAAAAGGGACGCTTCTAAAAAAAAACCCACAGGAAAATAAAAGACAAGAACTCGTATCACATTGTTGTATCTTTTGGACAATTGGCACATTTGTCCATCAGTGGCTTGGGTTAAGCAAAGCAGGTTTTGTTTTTATAAAAACCCATGATAACATCATGTCTTCACAGTTCATGTCTGAAATGTAAATTTCTTAGACTTTCTTTTCAAATTCAACATAATAAGGGCTCATTGACAAAATAGATTGTGTCCAATAAGATAAAAACTTGGAGGTTGCTAATTAATACTCGATTACCCATGAATATGCTGTTCAAGACAAAGCTGGATCATAACAGAACAAAATAATAGCTTACAGCATGCCTAGTGACATAATATCTCGGCAGTAATCATATACTGTGGAACTCTGATTCAACGAGGTCGCTAGGCCTGAGAAAGAAAGTCCAAGGCCAGTGACACCATGAAAATACACCACTTGCCATTGCATGCTCATCTGAAGGGCCTCTGAGAACAAGTTTGGCAGAGACAGTAGGCCTTATAATCAACCAAAGGTCGAGTAACAGATATACACTGACTATCCTTGTGTCACTAGACCTATACACTACAGTGTGTTGGCCTTTAGATGTGTGTGATAAAAATGGGCAAACAGGACACTGGTGATGCCTCTCCTCTGGCCACAATCAGCACACGTACACCCTTGTACTTGTGTATATATAATTTTTTTTGTGTCGCTATCTTGAAGTGTGCTAGACTTAATGATTTTCTTTGCTTGATGGTAGGTGATGAAGATTTAGACATAAAGCTTAAAATTCTTTTTGGTTTAGAAAAGGGGACATTGAAGACAATGAAGAAAAAATTGACGAATTTTTTTTTCTTCAGATCACCACTGTTTTTGGATTAAATGTGTTCACTATTTAAGTTTAGCCTCATGATCTATAGAGAAAAGAGAGGAAGATCTAAATATATTGGAGTTGGAGATAACCTATTTTGTCAAAAAGCTCTTCAAATACATACAGTACTATAATTACATTTCACTACTACATTCAGTGCGTATACTTTAAATATTTAGATCACAGTCAAAACCAATTTCATATATATAGTCGATGTTCAAAACTTGTGCAGGAATAACAACATTCATCAAAAAGGGAACAGCCATAACTTTATAACGATGAGATCACCCATTACACAACATCTGGTACACCAAAAACAAACCAGCCCTTTATAAGTACACTGAAGAAATAATTGTGAGGCATAATGGTGAAATCAGGCGCTCGTCAAAATTATAAACATTAAAATAAAAGAAACTGGCATTTTCCTGGCTGTTGGGCAATTTTTTTTATTTTCTTCTTTTGGCTCAACACTTTTTGTGCCCATTAAAAAAATTTACTTCTGTTTGGGTTTTATTGAAAAATATTCATTAAAGGCACAAAAACTGTAAATTTTCAGTTTCCAAGGACTCTCTCAAGCTATGAAAATTACCAAACTTTGGCGGCCATTTTCTTGTAAATTTTACCTCTGAAACCAGGCGACCCTCACCTCTTTCAATTGGAAATATCTTGACTTCTATTCAACATAGATTGATATTTTTTCACCAAAAGCAAGGCAAATGAGGAGGCTTTAACCCCATAAGCCCAAAAATTGATGAGCACCTGATTCCACCATGTCAATGTCTAGCCACAATTATAGATTACATTTTTGCAGCTGACATCCTTCCTTAAAAGTTGGATCTATGTGACAATTTATTATCGATTCAAAAATTTCTATTACAATTAATTACATTACAATTACAGGTTATTTCCAGTTTCAAGGGAAACATCCACTGAAAGATGTTATTCCCCTTCTACAGGCACAAAAAGTGCCAACACAACAACTAGAGTGTTCACTCTTTTACATTTTAGCTGGGTACCAAGCCCCATTAGGTTGAAGTGAGAAATTTGTGCAAAGCGTCTTTTCCAAAGAAAAATTGAACGCTCGTGGCCCCAATTTTACAGAGCACTGATCCATTTCTCTCATTCTGTGGAGGACAATTACACCTCTTGACATACATATATTCCTCTCTCTTTTCTTCTCTTAAAAACAAACTAGACATATACCTTACACTTGTGTAAATCTAGCATTCTGAACTAATGTGGGGTATGAAAATATAAGGTTTTTGTACATGGACGGAAATTTGACATATTTGTCTTCATGAATTGGGTAGCTAAAAGTACTTTTCTGGATTCCACTTGTAGGGTTTGACTTTTGCAGGCTTCCGAGGCTTCTCTGCCTTCTGCGAGGAGGGGATGGATGGCGGTTGCCAGGGGACTGGGTTGCAGAATGTGGGCTGGGGGTAGGCACTGCGGTCATGGTAACCTGAGGAAGGCAAGCAGATGTGAAACCTGTTAGTGGGAGTGTGGTGCTTAGGGTGGCTGTATGGAGGTACTTTTGGTGGGCATCTGCTGGAACATTCAGTCGTTCATGTACTTCGGGAGGGAGCCTGTGTGACCATCAATGATTTATTTATAGAGGCACCAGCTATCCATGTCCATGGCTGCTTTAGCCAGGGAGCCTGTGTATGGATACATTTTTTGACTAACAGTAATACAGTGGAGTCCACTTATAACGAGTCCGGAAAAAACGAGAAGTCTGCTATAAAGGCACTATTCTAAAACCCCGTTTTTTTCTCCTCTTTACCTTTGTAAACAAAATCCTGCTATAGCGCTATCAGACACACTTGCGAGTCGGTTATAACGGAATATTGCTGCTGGGGTGCACATGGCATAGGCCAATTATACATAATGCAAGACCTCGCCAGTTGAGAAACTTGTTGCTGATCTTGCGAAACAAAAAATAGGAGAGCCCTTGTGCGTCAACAATGAAGTTTATGAAGGCCGGAGCAACTGAGTAGGGAGAGTGTGGCATGCGCAGACAAGCAGAACGCATCGCGTGATAGGCCAGCGTAAGCCTAGTTTAGATTATCAAGGCCTGCCATGCCTCTCACTTCTCCGATGCGGGGATGGAGAGGTCATAGCAATGTGATGGATGGAGCGAATGTGTGACGTGCGCAAGCAGACAGAATGCACCACAGGGTGGGGTGGGGTGGGGGGAAAACACAGCGGGCGAGTTAGCCCAGAGCCCTTTCTATCTGATCGCCAACGTCGAGCTGTCAGTTCACATCGCTAGATCTAGCACTAGAGAAACAAACCTGATTCGATTTTTGATCAAGTAAGACCTACAGGTCATGTTGAAACAAATTTATCATCAGGGGAGATAGCAAAAGGAAAAACAAAACACCAAACTCATAGATTAGGCTTGCTTTACAGTTTCCCTTGAATTTATTACTGGATCCCTTATAGCGAGAATCCTGCTATAATGGACATTTTGCTTCGGTCCCCTCCCTCTCGTTATAACAGGATTCCACTGTAACTGTCTCTCAAGTCAGTCTGATTAACCCATTAGTGCATGAGGTCTTAAATTTTGGTCTTACTTTCACATAAGTTTCCTTTCTGGTTATATTGAAAGGTTCCGCAAGTCTTTTTTTTCTTTAAAACTTATAAACTTGCTATAACTATAAGTGACCGATTTAAATTTTGCCCAACTAGTTCACAGTTGGGCGCCATGCACGAATGGGTACGACAAGCTCTGAACACAGAAAGCGGACAAAAAAATGTAAACAGTAACAATATCTGGAACTTTAATGACTTTTATTATTTCTAAACATCAAATATAATAATTTGGTGTTACAAAATGAATGAAAAATAGATTTTAGAACCGGAAAATAGTCTAGAAAAATTCTGACATTTACTGGCGATGGTGCGTTTGAAAGCATTTCTCATGCAGAGGACAAGAGGGACAAGTGTCACATGCTTTCTTGGTATTGCCCTTAAAGACAATCTGCATCTTTTCTGAGTTGGTAGAAATATCAAACATTCCTGCATTCTTTTTTACTTTAGACCCAACCGTTCTTTCCATTTTGCCTGAAATAGGTTGCAAACGGGCGGCTTTTCCTGTATCTGCGTCAGGACCACACTTTGTTTTAAAATTCCAAGACAGTTCATTTGGCTGACTATGGCAGCTCAGGATCGTCTTTTGTGTATTTTTTTTTGTTTTGGTTAATCAAAAGAAGTTATTTTTATGGTCCTATGAACACAGTTTAGATAATTTAGAAGGCCGGTTTCATCTTGCCTGTGACGGCCAACCTAGGCTGAGGGATACACAATGTCCCAGCATAAACATCATGATACTCAATAAAAATTTTCTCAACACAGAAATCAAGCTCACATTCTTTTGTGTGCGACAGCAAAGCACCTAATAACTACACCACAGTCGCCTGTGTTGGTCCACTGTAAAGATTCCATGCATTGTGAGTTGATATAGTCATCAAGCTGTGGATGAAAAACGGCCACCACCCCTTTTTCATGTGGGTGTTGATCCTGTAATTGGCAATGTTCAGGTCCATACAATCAGTTCCTCCAATCCATTTTTTTGTATTGTATATATGTTATGGATATGAAAATTCACATCACCATCAAGAATTAACTTAAACAAGGACACAGGATCCTTATCGTTAACGTATTTCCGTTCTTTGGATTTATCTGAAGAATAATAGATTTTTGAGTTAGTATTTCTGCAGTTGTGATCACTATATTCCCCCATAGTGAAAGGGCACCATTGAAAGTGTGTAAGGTTGAAAAGCATAGAGCATTCAATTGTCTCAACATTTTCACCAGTTCTATCTTAGTTTGTATTTCCATTTTGGCTGTTTGAAGGCAGGATATAATATTTATTATGTCTGCAGGACTTAACAAATCGTTGTACTCAATTTGGTCTACATGTATCTCCTCATTTACTGTGTACAATCTTCAGACAGTAATAGGATAAACAATTGGTTAAATATTTTTAAAAGGAGTTGCAAAAACCCCACCACTTTGGTTTACTTACCTACAGTTTTATGAGTATAACATAGCATTAGAATTAGACCAATTTCATTTCTTCTGCAACCACAAAAGAACAATAGAGTAGGTACCAGAAATTTAAGCAATATCTATATTATATCAGCTATGCATAGCACAACTCTGTTTCAAGATTTGAAGAGTAGCTTTGACTTTTAAAAAGAGTCTCCAATTGATCACGACAAACTAATACACACACCTCCACCCCCCCCCCCTCTATCCACCCAAAATCATCTTTATCCATCAATGAAACATCATTAAAAAATGCATTTAAAAAAGAGAAAGTAAGGATCACAAGTGTAAATCAACATATCAGAACCTGATAAACAATCCGACTTGCAGGATGCCTCTATGTATACCATGTATATTGTTACTTGACATATAGAATTTTGACGTACCCATTCATGCATGGTGCCCAACTAATGGGGCGCAATACAACACCATGAAAAACGTGATTTTGAGTAAGGAAAAATAGCCTGGGAGGCGTAAAACTTAGTGAAGGGTAAGAAGAATTGTTTGAAGATGAAAAATGCAAAATGTGCAAAAGTGTACTTTTGTCTTGCTTTTCATTTGGAGGTTTTTTTAATGGCTCTCATTTGATGATGTCAATGCTATATATTGGATATCAAACAAAGGAAAATCCTTCTGACGAGTAAAAATGGTCTGCAGCAGAAAATTCAATTGTCCCTTCATCGTTAGGTAACAAAATATTTTGATTCATGCAGTTACTTGTCAAACTGGGGGCACTCAAACACCATGCCCAGTTGGGCGCTATGCATAAATGGGTTAAGAGTTTAGTTTGGTTTCAGTCAAGAGAAGAATATCAAAATGACAATAACCAGTTAGCATAGGAAAAAAGCAAGAGTAAAATGAGAGAGGGAAAGAAATGGAGCAGGACATACCAGTGGCACCCTCAGAATTAGCTCAGGCAATCGGAGAGGGGCGGGAAATTAGTCTCTTAAGTTAAATAAACCTGGCAGTGATGAAAAGGATTTTGAGCCCATCATGCAGCAAGTATTCACACCTCCACAGTCACCAAACTCAAATGGGCTAGCCCAGTAGACAACAGACTCATTATAAAAGGTCTTTTAAAAAAGGTCTATCTCAAAATGAAATGCAAATGTTGATTCAAAGACCAAAGAAACTCCAAGTGGTGTCTTGGAAGTAGAATACAAAATACATGTATGTGTACAAATCCTGTTTTCAAATCTCTGAAATCTTCGTCTACCTCATTGACATTGGTTGCACGATTAACCAACAAGTGGGATCTCTAACTATAAAGCCTATTTCTTGAAGGGTCGGTTGTTATGGAATGGGTTTGGCACCACCTATCAAAGCTACAATAAAAGGCTGATAGCTAGTGAAAACAAGCAAAGTGGAGTATGTTGTTGTAGTTGTTGTTATCGATCCAGCAACAGGCATGAGCTTTGGAAAACCCAAATAACCCAAGATAATAGCGTCATGCTGGGCATTAAAACTAAGGCCATCCGCACCTTAGTCCACGACAATGCCACCAATTGAGCTATCAACGATTCCTCTTTTTTTAAAACGATTCTGCAAAGCTGTTGGAGAGCATCCAAAAACGTTCACAAACAACGCATGTTCTGGTAAGATCTATGGGGGATTCAAAACCTACTCATCCGTACCCCAGAAGGTCGACAAAGAAGCTAATCGTGCGCCCAATCAGTATTCAGCTTGCTGAAATAGGCAGTAAAAGTATAGGAACAGTGGTAGGCCTATACCCTCACGCCCACCGCACGTAATTCGGTAACTTGTTCGATTTTTTTGCCTCTTTGTTTCTTTTTCTTTGCTTCATAAGCGCGTGCATGGCTGTGAGCGCACGCGTCCCCGTGAAAGTGTGTATGTGTATGCAGTGAGGAG